TATGTATTTCAAGAAACTTTAAATTTTCAAGTTGAATATGATTATGAACAAAACAGTATATTACACTGGTAGATATTTGTTTATGTTGTGTTGGTTTTCATTTTGCTTGTTTTTAGATAAAACAAAATATGTGAAGTTAGAACTCAAATGCCAAGATACAAATATGTGAAAGTATTCAGAATGAAATCACAAATTCACTTTCACATTGAAATAAAAATCAAGACTAACTGACAGCTCATTAACATTTGAGTTCTCTATTTTGTGGATTATTACATGCTGTATTTAACTTTAGTAAACGTCTTTGAATTTTCAAAGGGTTTGATGAATGGCATAGACCAGTTCTTGATACTCAGCTAGGCAGAAGAATTCATGGTTGGATGATTCAAAACCAGCACTTGTTTGTCCCTGAAAATATATTGGAAATTTCACAGATAATTATAAAATTTACCAAATACCAAGGAAGTTGATTCCTTTAATCTTTCAGTAAATTTCACAGCACTTTTGGTATCCAAATTAGAAGAGTAAGTAGATGCTTGGAAACACTTTTTTTTTTTTTTTTTTTTTTTTTTCAGTTTCATTTTTTTTTTTTGTCAGTTTCATTCTGTTGCCTAATTGGTCAAGTTCCCATCCAAATGACCAGGCTTCTTTCTTCAAATTCAATTAGAGGAGCTTGAACCTAACAATAAACAATACAGTTCAATGAGCAAGGTTGACCAGTTCATTATTTTAAATTCAGTATTTTTTCTTGGAGCAAATCTTGGTTGTATTAACAGGATTAAATACACTGACAATCAAGGATATCACCAGTTTATCTGTGGCCAAATAGCAAGCCACATAATAGTGGTTCTGTTGTAGTAAAAAGGGTAAATAATTGCTATTTGGCTTAACCTAAATGTGACAAAAATATTTTGTTCCCACCAACAAAGACAAAATGGGGTGAAATGTAACCCTTAATAAGATATCATGTAGAACAACTTTAAAATTTTTTCTTTTCATCACTGAGGCTGCCCTAGGGATTGCACACCTGATTGTGATGGCCATGGAAAAAGAAGGTTTACCAAAAGAGAAAGCCATCAAAAAGATATGGCTGGTTGATTCAAAAGGATTAATAGTTAAGGTAAGAATTTTTCATTTTTAACCAGAATAAAAATCAATATGCCATTCTGGATGACCATCTCAAAGACTACTCTGTTTCTACAACCTCCCTTTACACTGTGTTAAAGAATAACCATTAAATACAAACGATCGTGTCATACAGTAATACTGATACTTTCCTGAATAAAGAAGAAAACTATGGCTTAGGAACAGATTCCATCTGCAGTGTGAGTCAGCTCCTTACACCCCTTTGAATTGACAGTCCATTGGAATTAGTTTCTCTTTCTTTCTCTCTCTCTCTCTCTCTCTTTTGAGATAGGGTCTCACTCTGTCACTCAGGCTGGAGTGCAGTGATGCCATCATTGTCACTGTAGCCTTGACCTCCTGGGCTCAAGTGATCTCTACCCCCACCTCAGCCTTCTGAGCAGTTGGGACCACAGGATGCTGTATCCGGCTATTTAAAAAAAAAATTAAAAAAAAAATTGTAGAGACAAGCTCTCACTATGTTTCCCAAGCTGGTCTCAAACTCCTGAGCCCAAGTGATCCTCCTGCCTCAGCCTCCCAAAGTGCTGGGATTTACTGGCATGAACCACTGCACATGGTCAGTGTAGTTTTAAATTTAGCAATTTGATAATGATACAGATGAAACACCTAGATATATCACTTTTTATTGAGAGTTGGTGATCAAATTGTACATTAGCTAGAAAGAAATGAGGAAAAAATGAAACAGCTACTCTTTACCTGCTACTTCCTCTCAATGAAATTCTTAAGGGTTTGAATGGGGATTCCTGAGAGAAAACTTTGATAAATAGCTTGTTTGAATATTATCTTACCTGAGCTTGAGTTTCTCCATCTTTAATAGAGATAATAGTACCTACTTCATAGTATTATTGTGAGAACTAAATAAAATTAGGTTTGTGGCCATATTGCTATATAGTTATAAGGCATTACTAATACTTGTGCCACCTGTGCATATCAATCATTCTTTAAACTGCTAGAAAAAAGTACATATAAATCCCCTTCCTATGTGAAGATGAATGACTAGGAATAACTAATGATAAGCAGTGTCTTCTGGAATTTAGTATAGAAATAAATGTGAATGTGTACATACAGACTTTCTGGAAAGCTGTTTTATGTGTATTCAGAGCCTTTAAAAGTTTATATTTTTGAGCCACTAATTTCCATTCAGAGAATCTATCCCATGGAGATAGAGATATATACAGTGTTTTATGTATGAGGATGTTATTGCAGCATTATTTACAATAATGATATAGTTTATCACACATTAATTATAATAGTGATATGTTATACTTACCTAAATAAAGGATGATTGTCAAATGAATTGTGGAATAGCCGCATTAATATATTGTATAGACTTAAAATTGTTTTCAAAGAGCAATAAATGACACGGTAAAGGATTCATAATATAATAGGTGAAAAAAACAAATACCATAGTATATATTACTTTTTATTTAAAATATAGTTGTATATAAAAGTCATAGAAGGAAATATATCAAATTCGTATTACCTTAAAACATTATTTCTAATGTCTTTATATATTTTGAATTCTTAGTAATCTTTTCCTTTAAAGGTAGAAAAATACTTCTTTTTAAAATTCAGTATACATAGATATATTTTTCTTTAAATGAAGAAAAAACATATGCATAACTTTTTGTAGCAAATATGTATATATAAAGACGGAGACCTTCAGTATGGATTTCTTGGCTGAAAAATTGCTACTGCTTTGAAGCATCAGCATAACTATAAAAATTTGTACACTGTCATCATGTGACAGATTGTGGGCATGAAATAAGAACGTTTACTGAATAAAATCACCTATGGATTGGGTGTTGTTCTAGACGCTGGGGATTCAATAAAGCCCTTGATCTCAGGAAGCTCATAGTCTAGTGAGAACAATTCAATCCATGAGTTACAGAACTAGAACCATATGAAAGTGTTATAAAAAAAATGTTCATGGTGTCAGGGTGCACAGGAGATGATGCTCCCAACCTCACTAAGGAAAAAGATGGGAATACTGAGGAAGATATCAAGACAAGGTGTCTTTTAAGCTAAGTTGGAAAGGAAGAGTTAGGAGTTTATCTAAGAGTTAGGGTCTCCATAGATATCTTGAATTTCCTATATACAAAACTGAAACAAAGGAAGTATGATGACAAGTTCACTGAGAGATCTTGATAGAAGCTAAATATGGTGTCTTTCGTCTCTTTGTATCTTCAAAGTTCTATACAATGTGTAGTACATACCTGACAACAAATATTTTGTTAATAAATGAGTTAATAAGTGGCTTTACAGATAGGAGAACCAGCATGTACAAAATAAAATATTTTGGTATAAGGGACATTTACAGATTAGATTAGAAAGGAAGCAGATGACAAGAGATGAAGGACTTTCCGAACCCCGAAGATGAGCAATTGAAGAAACCTGTGCAGAGGGGTTTGCCTCTCCTTGACTCTGATGGCATTGTGGAGGATGGATTGCAATGAGGGGAAACTGAGAAAAAGAACTAGTTACAAAGCTGTTGCAGTAATCCAGATAGAAATTAATTGGGCCGTGACCATGGAGGTGAGTGAAAGAAACTTAATTCAGTACGTATTTAAGAAATAGAAGTGACATACTGAGTAACTGATGAAATATGGAAAGAGGAGTAGGGTAGAGTGGAGGAAGGAGTCTAGGTGGACTTGTTGGGGGTCTAGTAAGTAATGAAGAACAGACCAATTTAAGTGAAGTAACAGGATCAGTTTCACACATAGTAAGTTTAAGGTGCCTGTGGAGACCTCACACAGAGATGTCCCATTGGCAGTTGGAGATAAGGGACTGATACAAAGGAGAAGGGTCTGGGTTGGAGGTAGGGATCTGGGGGTCATCATCATGTGAATAGTAGGAATAGTAGGAGCTGTGGAGAAAGCTACACAAATTGTTCTCCTTAGGGATATAAAATATTCAAGAGTCCAAAAAGTGGAAGTCTATGTGGTTTTATTTTATTGTCTCTGATGACATTTTTACCTGAAATCTGTGTAAAAATATATATATTTTAGCATCTCGAATAATTTTAACACACATTTACTGAGCTGAGATTCCAGAGTCCATGGATATAATACTTGAAATAACTGTGAAGTTGTTGGCTAGACCTAGTCAGTCTCTCTTACTTCATGTCTTTTACTTGCCAAAATAAAGAAGTTCATATATTCTGCTTGCCAAGATAAAGTTACATTTTAAAAGGTTGTTATATATTTAACAGCTTGTACACTATTTAATATAAAAGACACATATTAAGTTTCAATCACTTTTTCTTTCATGCTTTTAAACAGTCAAAATCCTTATAATGACTTTTGTTGCAGAACTGTCTTAGAATAACCAGTAAATTAGTGTAATCCTGTTTTCAAATTTACATGATTCTTTTGTGTTTTTTGTCCTTCATTCTTAGTGCTTTTACATCTCCTGAGAACCAATAATAATCATTTTATTAATTTTATTAACTTGTAATTGTTTATAAAATGTAAAAATACCATAAAGTTTTAAATAAAAAATTTTCTTGGTGAAACTCCACTTTTTAAAAACAGCACCTCAAAAACTAAAATATGAACTGTGAAATCAGCTCATCTTTGAAGTTATATCATCATCACACTAGATAATTATTATTCCAGTGTATTTTCTCTTTCAAGTTTCAGCATCACAGCCATAGCATTTTCCATCATTTACCCCATATCCATATGTGCAGTGGAAAGAGTTAATGCTATAGAATACCAATATTGTAAATAATTCATCCATATCACTAAGGTTAATTGAAGTCAATTACTTGGTTATGAATCATACTCAAATATCTTTATACTTTAGTATATAGTACTAAATATAAGATACCTTAGTTTTTATAGTGGGAAATAATTTATATAGTAATTGTGTCAACTAATATTAATACATTTTAATGTAAAATTAATACTTAGTTTTAGAAAACCTTCCAAAATAAAAATTAAAGTAGGAATAAAGACAGTGAAAAGAGGATGAAAAGGGAACGTTGCTAAGTATTTGCATTTTGCAGTGATGATTTAGAGCATTTTCAGGGAGGCTAAGAAGCCACAAAACAAACCAGGTTTACTCTTTGTCTTAAATAATTATTTTCACTCTCACTAATAAACCAAATTAATGCTAAGACAAAACATCAAAATAAAAAGTAGGATATTAAGAGACCTTATGAAGGATAGATTTCATCTAACCCAGAATGAAGCCGTAAACTGGCTTGAATTTTGTTTTTATTTTTATTTTATTTTATTTTGTTTTGTTTTAAATAATTTTGCTCCACTGTATTTTTCTGATTTATAGTTAAATGGTTAGCTCTTGTAGAAAGAGATGGTCAACAAAGGTATATTGTATGTTATAAAGGTAGTTTTGACAATATAGTTATTTCATTCCTAAGAGTATAATCTACAGGTTGAGGGCTTGAAACTACAGACTATGTAGTTTAATAACTACATACATAATACACTGTGGTTTAATAAAAAAGTCTAACTCCAAAGAGACTATGTAAGCTGGTGAAAAGTTTCTGGCTTGATTATTTTCTCCCTCTTTTTCATTTCATATAGAGTATGATCAATGCATGTAGACATTAAAAAGAACAGAGGCCAAAGATGATATGCATGAGTCTTAGAAAATTATGAACATTGATTTTTAACATACAAAATTAATTACTAATGGAGTTCACCGCCTACTATCTTAAATTAAAAACACTCCATGTGCCTTACTATACTTTTGTCACATAATTTATCTTTGCTTAATCTGTCCTGAGATGATGAAACACAGCTCTGGACTCTTAGCAAGTGCACATACCTGATTTACAACAATTGCAGTGAAATGCTACTGACTATGTGCTGAGAAAACCCTGTCTACAGATCCAAAGAAGGGCCGGGTTCAACTCTGGTAAACTAATGACATGCCAGCAAAAATAGGCCAGTACATTGGGGGTAGGTAGTCCAACTGGGGCTTGTGGAAGAGTTTTTCTAGTCCCTGTATGTAGGAAGGAATAAATATTTATCACTGGTAATCTAGAATTAGTTTACTTATACCTATCCTGGGCTGTGGAATGATAGCCCAAAATCTTGGCAACCTTTGCCCCCGTTCTCCTCCCTACACCCACTACAAACATAGGTGCTTTTGAAAAGATGGTAATTCAATGTGGTTATATCTTCTACAATATAGTAAGAATCATCATAATATAAAGGAATAGGGGAGATTAAAGTAATAATGTCACAAATAAAGTTTCAGCTATCCATAATATGTTTGAGGTAATTAGAGACTCTTGAAAAAAAGAGAGAGAGAAAAGACGCATCATAGAATTTGGGATTTCTGAGGTAAGAGGTGCCCACATGCACTTTGCCAAAAAAAGGCAAAAATATTTCAGCAAGGGATTCTGAAAAGGGAGAATAAAGGGAAAAGACATCTCATCTCCATACCAACTGAAGTTATTGGCATAAAGAATATGTATTCCAAATCAGATTTTGAAAAATAGAGAAAAAATAAGCCATTAGTCTAGAAAATAGAAGTCCAAAGATACAGGGAGTTGCCTCAGTATTACCGGATTTAGAAAAGGTTGTCACATTCCAGTAGTTTCTTTAAACTAGATCATCAAATTAATTTTGAAAATGATAGAAGAACACACTTGGGAGACCTTTTGTGTGTGTGTCTTGATTCTTCTGTTTTGCCAAGTAAGACCTTCAGTATTGCTAGTATTACCATTTCATGATTCCTGGCCTGTTTTCAGCATTCTTTCAGCATTTGTAAGTCATACCAGGAATCAAGCCTTTGAAGGTGTTGCTGTGGGTAATTTATGTTTCTTAGTAGATGGAATGTCTTCTGGCTAAGTTCTGGCTTCAGTGTCTAGGAGCTGCCAGTGCGTATACTATGATTAATAAAGATGTTTATGATTAAGCATGTATCTTTTTCTTTTCATATATATTCATCTGTCTTCTTTGTTATTTGTTTCCCATTCTAGGCAATTTAAATAGTTTTCATTATATCTCAGTTTGTCAGCCAAAAAATCTGTGACTTCCAATTTATCTTATTCTATAGCTTTTCTTCTTTAGACTCATTATTGTATACTTTTTTGAAAACGTAGCACATAACCTTTTAAAAATGCATGTGGTAGGGATATCATAGATCATTTAGTACACTGATTCTCAAAACTGGCTAATCATTTCTTTTTTTTATTTTTATTTTCTGAGACAGAGTTTCACTTTGTCACCTTGGCTGGAGTGCAGTGGCGTGATCTCGGCCCACTGCAAGCTCCACCTCCCAGGTTCACGCCATTCTCCTGCCTCAGCCTCCTGAGTAGCTGGGACTGCAGGCGCCTGCCACCACGCCCAGCTAATTTTTTGTATTTTTTTTAGTAGAGACAGGGTTTCATCATGTTAGCCAGGATGGTCTCAATCTCCTGACCTCATGATCTGCCCGTCTCAGTCTCCCAAAGTGCTGGGATTATAGGCGTGAGCCACCACGCCTGGCCTACAGCGGACTTTTAATAGGAGAAAATATACCAAAACTTTAAGTGCTGGAATTATGATTTTTTTCTTCTTCACAAAAATTGTACTTGCAACAACAACTAGCATCGAGCTCTTATTATAAACCAGGTACAGTCCTGAGTGTTTTACATGTATTACATTTCATTTACACCACAAACAACCTGATGAGGTAGAAATTCTTATTATCCTTATTTACAGATGAGGAGACAAGCACAAAGAGGTTCATATGTTGCAAATTTTTTTATAATTCAGTATATTGCTTTTAAAAACAGAGCCTGGCATGGTGACTCACGCCTATAATCCTAGTGACTCAGGAGGCTGAAGCGAAAAGATCACTCCTGAGGCCAGGAGTTCAAGACAAGCCTGGGCAATATAGCAAGACCCCCATCTCTTTAAAAAAATGATAAATTAGCCAAGCATGGTGGTGCATACCTATAGTTCCAGCTACTAGAGAGGCTTAGGTGGGAGGATCCCTTGACCCCAGGAGTTCAAGGCTACAGTGACCTCTGATCCACGGCACTCCAACTTGGGTGACAAAGTGAGACCTCATCTCAAACAAACAAACAAAAAAAAAAACAGAAATAAAATGATAATAACCCTTTAAAGCAAGAAAATTGTACCATCTTCATTATTAACAAATTGCAAAAACTATGACATACTATTTGTTAAGTTTTTGCCCAGGGTGATTCGGTGCTATATTGAAAAGGCTTTGAGTTCCAGTACAATCTCTTGCCTTGAGCAAGTCCCTTAAAGCCTCTGAATCTGTTTCCACATATGTAAAATGACTATGCTTATACTTGTCCTGCTTCTCAGAATTGTTGAGGGGATCAAATGAAATATGTGAAAACAACTTGTAAGTCATCAAGTACCATATAAAATTAGGCAGTAATTTATTATGTAGTCAGATCTTTAAAATTTGCAGCCAGAATATTATAATTAGATGTTTACTAGATAACACATGGCATATTCATAATTGGAACATTAAAAACAAAAACATAGAAAACAAATACTGAGAATATCTAACATTGACATAAATATGGCTTCAAATTCTTTTCTGAGTCAGTGGCATAAATCAGTAGTGCTACAGCTGAAGCCAACTCAAGATTCTGAGACCTGCTATAAAACACAATGTGTGGCAAACAATATTCTCTAAATGACATTTTGCATTGCCATTTGTTAATGCTAGTTCTCACATATCTGTAAAATTAGGGTTTTTAATATCAGTTAAATGAAGGACTTTGTTTTGTTCACTGTTACATCTCCATTGCCTAGAACATTGACATATAAATGTTTGTTGAAAGAATGAATGAAATAACATTCTGACAATTGAAGAGACTTTAAGAATAGCTGTAACACATCATACATAAAAATGTTAAGCACAAATGTTTGTAATATATATACTGAAATTTCTTTGACCCGCATATGTTTGACAGATTCTAAATTTTTTCTCACTTGCTTTACTTAGGGACGTGCTTCCTTAACACAAGAGAAAGAGAAGTTTGCCCACGAACATGAAGAAATGAAGAACCTAGAAGCCATTGTTCAAGAAATAAAACCAACTGCCCTCATAGGTAAACTTTTTCTCCTCCCCCTTCCCCCCCGCCCCTTATTTTGACTTGATTGGTTTTATTTACTACCAATTTTTGAGGTATAATTTAGTCTTTTTGAAATTCTACCCCTTTGAATTCAAAAAACTACACATTCGCTCAAGCGACAGTACCCTGTAGAGACCTAGATTTTTCACTTTAGTCCTGTCTTCTTTCTCTTACTGATCTGAGCTGAAGTGTGTGGCCCCCTCCTCTAAGTGTCAGCCTGCTAATACCTGGCACATTCAGCACTTTTGTAGGCTTGATTACTCCAGATAGACAGTGGTTCTCAAATAAGAGGGATTTTTGCCCTGCAGGAAACATTTGGCAATGTCTGGAAGCTTTTAGTTGTCTTAACTAGGGTCGCGGGGTTGGAAGGGGAGTAAAGGGAGGGGCTATTGACATCTAGCCGATAGAGGCGGTGGAAGGATTCTACTAAATATCCTGCAGTGCACTGCACAGTCCCTGTGACAAGGAATTATCCAGCCTAAAATGTTAATACTGCTGAGGTTGAGACACTCTGAGGTAGATAAGACCCTCTTGGAAGACAGGGATCACATCTGACAAATCTTTATATTCCTTATAGCACTTAATACCGTACTTACACATTGCATGTGCACTGCAAGACTTTAAAGTGGTTTTAAAAAACTCAAAGGAATTTATGAATCTTTGTGTTGTGCATATATAATTTTGGTTTTTACCTTGTATTATACTCCATTCCAACAAGCTCTTGTGAAACAGATGACAATGTTGAAAATAATGATGATAACTATAATAAAACAAGTACTTATTCCATGACAGGAATTTTACTAAGTGTTTAATATTGTTTTTACAAAATATATTCTGTCAATAATCTTATTGTTTTTCATTTCCATTATGCTAATTGCTTTATTCTTCTGTTAAAGTTATTTCAATGGGTGGTACTTTACTTTTGCCATTGAATCAGATGGTTGTCTTAAGTGATAGCATTAGTTTATAAAACTTAATTGCTTTATAGCCTGACAGACTGAAATGTACTCATAGAATTGCTTATAAAGAAAGTATACATATTGGATACAAATTTCCAAGTGATTGGTCACTAACTCAATGTATTATAGGAGCCAAATCTTATCTTTAATTTTTAATAGGTATTTGTAGATTTGTGACCCTAAGGATTGTAAGGATTGTTGGCATTAACAAACGTGCCTCTTTTTGTCACTATAATACAAATAGTCTATACAGCATTTTGTTTAGGATCTATTAGAAAATGACATGACAGATATCATTGATTTGGGGCATGGTCTTCTTGTGTCAATTAACCAATGATAGTGTTAATTACCAGCTTCATTTTTCTTCATTAGGAGTTGCTGCAATTGGTGGTGCATTCTCAGAACAAATTCTCAAAGATATGGCTGCCTTCAATGAACGGCCTATTATTTTTGCTTTGAGTAATCCAACTAGCAAAGCAGAATGTTCTGCAGAGCAGTGCTACAGAATAACCAAGGTAAAGTAAAACTATAACTGGTACTTGAATAATCACATTTTTATTCATTATAGGGAGGCCTAGGATATCTCAGGTGCTTACTGTTTAAGTTTAAAAATTATACAAGAAAAGCACACAGATCAGAGGGATAAGAACTATTTCCTTTTCTAGAATGTTGTATATATCCTCTTCTTCAACAAAATAAAATACATATTTTAATGTTTTACTGATAATTTTCCATAAACGATTTGGAAATATCTAAGATTTACACATAAAAGTTAAATAGAAAGGAAGATACTTGTTTCTAGAGGCTTATTAAAATAGCTTTTAACTAGCTATTCCCAAACACTGAAGCGTACAATGTAAAACCACAACCTTATTTTTGCTTTGCTAAATCCTGGGTTTGGGTTTTGGTACTATGGGTGGAACATTTGGGCAACTATCTTGACATGCAGCCAGATTGGGATAGGCGTCCTCAATGCTTCAATATTTTACTGTGATTCATTTTATACCATGTTTGTACTAATATATATTTGGCTGATATGCTGAAAGGAGCCTTTTTCCCTTAAAAGACTTTAAAATATCATTACAACAAAATAGAGGTTGGGTCCTATCTATCTAAAATGTTTATTTTGGAAATAAATCCAAAATGAACTAGAGAGGTAAACATGAAAGCTATGACACTCTGCACTAACTGGAACTTAATGACTCTATTTTAATCATATATCCTTAAATGCTCAATACTAGGATTCATGATTTTTTTTTTTTTTTTTTTTTTTTTTTTTGCAAGGAGCCACTCCATTATGTATCTCTCTTATTTGGGATGGCATCAATGTTCTCACTAATTTTAATTTTTATCTCATCTCTAGATTGGGGAATTTGCCCCACATTATTCAGTAGTCCTTAAATCCTTAAAGGAAAAAAAAAAGTCCTTTGAGCAACAACGAAATTTTAGCATCATGCCTTGCACATATGTGGCATATAATAAACAAGTATTTAATTAATTATTTTGTCTTAATATCTCTCAACAGGCCTCAAGGGTTAAGAGACTTATCTATAATACACATAAACAAAATTAGCCAAATTTATGTAGTTGTGTTTTAAACTTTGAATGTGTCTGATATAAATGTAGGCTTCAAGTCTTTCTTATCATCTTGCCTAATAGTCTGTTTTTCTACATAAAACATTGAAAATTATTTTGAGGATGAAAATTTAGACACTGGTTTGGCTAAAGGATTAGAGAAAAAGGAAAGGTCTGCCTGTTGCTGGATGTGAGTTTCTGCTACTGCAGGCATAGGTGAAGATAGGAAAGGTTAAAATACAATATACAAAAAGACTATTGAACCATAAAAATACAATCCGAAAATGGTATGGGGAGATTTCCTTCACTATGTTAATAACATATATATGAGAATATTTAGCTAGCTACGTACTATCATTTATTTAATGACATTTCTCCTTGAAATATGGTGATTATAGAAAGGCAGGAAGAGTGGGAGTGAAGGAGGAGGGGGAGATATATAATGTTACAGGCCTCTTTCTCAAATATAATTTTCCGAAACCTTTATATATGAAGTAATAATTTAGCTACATTAGAAAGTTGTTTATAACAAAATGTTTTATCTGCTAAAGAGCTTAAAGTATCAGGTTTGTCTGAAAACAAAACCGAATTCTGTGCAAAACATAAGTGTCTTATAAATAGCTAGATGAGAATTTCTGTTTTTCTGCCTCATCTATTTTCATCTTTTTATGTCTCAAAGAAGGTTGAATTTTTATGTTATACAACTTTAAAACAACTAAAAGGTATATTATGACATTTGCTAAAAACAGGTTAATATTAATATCATTATTTAGACTCTAGATCCAAGAGATATGAAAGTTAAAACCCATTGTGTCATCATTTAAACTATGCCTTGGGGATTTGATGCTTTAGACTTTTCAAATAGATTTCTTAGACTGTGACGCTTTATTTTTTGAGGGTTTCTGATTCCTACTTTGAAGCCTAAATACTCTCAACTAGATATCCACTCTCACCATCACAGACAAATATTGTTTTGATTAGCAATATGAAATGCGGCACCTAACAGGCCCTTAGTTAATGACTTTTTTTTTTTTTTTTTTTTTTTTTTTTGAGATGGAGTCTCACTCTGTCACCCAGGCTGGAGTGCAATGGCATGATCTCGGCTCACTGCAGCCTCCGCCTCCCAGGTTCAAGCGATTCTCCTGCCTCACCCTCCTGAGTAGCTGGGATTACAGGCGCTCACCATCACATCCCACTAATTTTTGTATTTTTAGTAGAGATGGGGTTTCTTCATGTTGGCCAGGCTGGTCTCCAACTCCTGACTTCAAGTGGTCCGCCCTCCTTGGCCTCCCAAAGTGCTGGGATTACGGGCATGAGCCACCACGCCCGTCTAAGTTAATGCCTTTTTAAAGCAAGCATTAAATGAGATTCTTCAAAACAATTATGACAAAATATTAATACTAGGCAAAATGAAGACAATTGTTGAAAAATACTGATAACTTTATCTTCCTCTTCCTTGCCAATTCTACTCCTGCCAATGAGTTTGTTTCCTATGTGATTCTCCACATAACTCTTTATTTTATTTTATTTTTTGAGCTGGAGTCTTGCTTTATCGCCCAGGCTGGAGTGCAGTGGTGTGAGTTCACTGCAACCTCTGCCTCTTGAGTTCAAGCGATTCTCCTGCCTCAACCTCTCGAGGAGCTGGGCTTACAGGCACCCACCACCACTCCCCAGCTACTTTTTGTATTTTTAGTACAGATGGAGTTTCACCATGTTGGCCAGGCTGGTCTCAAACTCCTGACTTCAAGTGATCTGTCCCTGTCGGCCTCCCAAAGTGCTGGGATTACAGGCATGAGCCACTGTGCCCAGCCCACACAACTCTTTACAATATAGAAATATGTATGATTTTCCCAGTTTTTATTTTGGAAATGTGTTGATTCCTAAAGCCCAACCTAAAATATCATCATTTTCAATACTTAAATATTAGCCCATCATTTTTTATCTTCAGATGTCTATCGTTGGAAGCCTATATAAAAATGGTTGATGAGCCTATGGGTTGAACCACTGCAGAGAATAGAGTGATGGTCTTAGGGCATACTGTACTTTGCATGCTCCTCCTGGATGTAAAGAGTAAGACAGAGAATAGTAATAATCACCCATTCCAGAACTGGTTGTACAACATCACAAAAGCTTGTCCAGACTTATTAGCAAGTTGATAAAAAACTAGACTTCTTTCTAAGTAGTTATAATTTAGGCTATGGGATAGTTCTGTTATGATACATTTGTTTTAAAATATTCTGCTTCTTTTAAAAGTGAGTTGTATGTGTCTTTGTTGTAGGGACGTGCAATTTTTGCCAGTGGCAGTCCTTTTGATCCAGTCACTCTTCCAAATGGACAGACCCTATATCCTGGCCAAGGCAACAATTCCTATGTGTTCCCTGGAGTTGCTCTTGGTGTTGTGGCATGTGGATTGAGGCACATCACTGATAAGATTTTCCTCACTACTGCTGAGGTATTGTAAAATCCTCTAAGTTTACCAAGGGTTTAAAATACCAAGTGCGCTCAGCCTAGGTTGTCTAATGTTTTATTTATCTAGCATCTCAGCTTACTCTCTGAAAGAAGTAAAGTCTGAAGAAGAGGAAATCTTTCCCAGTGGAGAATAAGGGGTGGGTAGCATGTTCCTACTGACTCACAAACAAAAGGTTCTTCTTCAGTAGACATTAGAAAAATTGTGTTTTTGATTTCTTAAGAGGAACATTTTTGTGTCTTCACACATCAGATCAAGTTCTGTGACAGTGATGAGACAATTAAAAATATTGTTTCCAGGGCTGTATGTGGTAGCTCATGCCCGTAATCCCAGCACTCTGGGAGGCTGAGGCAGGTGGATCACTTGAGCCCAGGAGTTCTAGGCCAGCTTGGCCAACATGGTGAAACTTCATCTCTACTAAAAATACAAACATTAGCCAGGCGTGGTGGTGCATGCCTGTGATCCCCCGACCCAAGAGGCTGAGGCAGGGGAACTGCTTGAACCCAGGAGGCGGAGGTTGCAGTGAGCTGAGATCACGCTACTGCACTGCATCCTGGGCTACAGAGCTAGACTGTTACCTTAAAAAAGCAGAAAAAAGAATTGTTTCCAAATGATGATTAAGTGGTAAATATTTCCCTGTTGAGAAATATACAGTGCTTAATAATGAATGGCATTTTGAAGGTTTAAAGTGGAAGTATGATATGGTATAGTGAACATGTTTATCACTCAGGGTTCAGTACAGGAAACAGAAACCACCCTAGTATTTAAGCGGAAGTTAAATCAAAATAGGAAATTAGTTGTTTATAAAATCATTAAAAGAATAGGAGAAGTGAGCTCTATCTGGGCCTTGAGGAAAGATTCTCAGAACATCACAAAGCAGGCCCACTGGGGAATCTTGTACTGTCATGAACTGTGAAAGATCTGAAATTTTACTCTACTTGCAAGCTAACAAGTTAGCCACAATTTCATAGATATTGACAGAAAACATGAAACTTTTAGGTCAGAGACAAAGGGCTTTGATACTTCCTAGCACAAGAGATATCATGAGCTGTATGTTCCTATCAGCTTCCCTCCCCATCCCAAGCCTCAGCAGGATGATACAGTGATTGGGCATATATTTGTAATCATGAGCTTTTGGTAATCAGAATGTTCATCAGGTTGATATCATATTTTCAGATTTGAACAGGTTACCATTTGTGGATGAGAAACTTGAGTGAATTTCTTCTCTTACGATTAAACCTTTGCAGCTGAACTGATCCAAAGAACTTGATTGATAATCAAATATTTTTATCCTGCAAATATTCTTTCCATTGTGAAGAGGAACCCCAAGAATATAGACAAAGATTCTTATGTTACTGATGTGATCTAAAGGAACATAATATTGGTGGCTAGCGCCTGGCGTCATTCTATGAGAACAGATGCTTGGAAGCAACAATGTACTCCTGTCGTTTTCTTCACTATATTAAAAAGCGTTCCAGCTGATGTCTCAGGTTTTCTTTAACTCAGAAAATCTTGTTAAACATAAATGGATGTCTGCTTACTAAGAGAGCCTGTAAAAGTTGTTTTTGCATTAAGGAAAATGTAATCATTGTCTTTTAGAATAGCCACATCAGAGTTTTGGTTACTTGTAGTAGTCAGTGTTTTCTTTCCTAAATAACTCCAGCACCCTCTAGTGACAAATTCCATGAAAAATATTTTCAATTTACTCTCCAAGAAAGGTAATAATCACTACCCAAAAACAGTTTGAAGGAAAAAAAAAAAAACGTGGTGTTATCAACATACCACATCACTAATTCTTATCATAGCTAGTGATCTCTCTGGCTGTATCTTTTGGCCTTTCTACTGGTTTTCTCTTAGGCTTCAACACAATATTCTGTTTTTATATCATCTCAATTATGTCCCCACTCATTATTTTCTTTGTCTCCTTTTCATCTCCCTCTTAAGTAAGAGGTTTTTTTCTAGTGTTCATTTTTTGTTAGCAGTTTTTTCTTCTCTTTTTCTTATGCTTTCGAAGATCTCATTCATTCATTTATTTCTGTTATCTTCATTCTAGTAGTGGCCAAATCTGTGTATCTCGATTCTCATCTTTTTCCGTATCTCCAGTTGCCTGTTGGGTAATTCCACAGACACGCCCTACTGTGTCCTTAAACACAACATTCTGAAAGCCTTACTTATCTTTCCTCATTCCTAGCATTCACATTTTTATTAGTGATACCCCCTTTCCAAGCAGGCAGCAAAGCTTAGAAGCTTGACATTCTTTTCATTCTCCCTCATCCCATAGCCTTCAAACACACCATGCATATGTATGCCTGTGTAACTGCTTTATCTCTTATCCTGCCTGGAAAGACCTGAGAATTATTCTCCAATGAGCTAAGCTTGTCCTTGATGGTGCTGCTTAAATCCCACCACATCCTGGGATCTTTTTGTGACAAGTCTAGCTCATCTTGATCTTTCTCCTTAGTCATGGCTGTCTTTATTACACACTTTGACATTTAATTTTATTTCTGGTTATGATACACTCGTGAGAGCTTCCTATTGTAAAAGATTAGGTGTTGCCTTTATAACTAAATTGTAGATTATCGTGTTTTTTTTTTTCTTTTGAGACGGAGTCTCGCTCTGTCACCAGGCTGGAGTGCAGTGGTGTGATCTTGGCCCACTGCAACCTCCAACTCCCTGGTTCAAGCAATTCTCCTGCCTCAGCCTCCCAATTATCTGGGATTAAAGGCACATGCCACCACACCCAGCTAATGTTTGTATTTTTAGTAGAGAGGGGGTTTCACCATGTTGGCCAGACTGGTCTCGATCTCTTGACCTTGTGATCTGCCCGTCTTGGCCTCCCATGGTGCTGGGATTACCGTGCCCGGCCTGTAGATTATCTTTTTTAAAGACAGAGAGTCTTCCATATACTTCTTTTAAAACTTCAGTAGCATCTAGCACAATGCTAGGCACAAAGCAGAAAATTAGTAAATACTTTCTGAATAGGATTAAATAGAACTACTCATGTATCTTAGCAAGAAGAATAAATACAATACCACAGACATTCACTACCAGATGGCCCCAAAAAGAAGAAAAGTACTTCTTGTCTACATTATATTTTGTAGTTAACAAGGGTAATATGTAGGAGATATATCTGAATTTTTTGTTTTGCAACCACAAATTTAATAACTGTTAGAATTATTGTCAAAATACTAGTTGGATCTCTTATGGAACTGGAAATGTCATGGGTTAGTACCAATCTCAAAGAATATTTCTGGACATTTTTATATCATGAAGAGGTTTTTGGCTTTCCTGGCACTGTAGACAGTCTTCTGGACCTCTAGTGATCAGCCCTTCTGTCCCTGTGTGGTCTATAGTGTATCCTGGGAATAGACCCCTCACCTCCTGTTCATACCTGGGAGACAAATCTCAGCCTCCTATCTTCACACCACTCCTCCTGAATCATGGGCTGGTGTCTTCTCATCTGCCCTGCTCCCCTCCTTTCTGATATCTTCTCAGAGGACCCTTTAGATAATCATCATGGACAATAGTATCTAGAGGAACCTTTTCCTTGCTTAAGATAATTGGAAATCCAACTGCCATAACAATGTCAGAACAAAATAGAGAGAGATTATTTTGAATTAGCCACAATGTCATTAGAGAGAGACAACCAAAGCACATCAAAGGCAGCAAAGTTTTTTAATAAATGATTTAATTAATGAGAGCCAGGCTAGGACTCTTGTATGCCCCCTCCTTTTCCCCCTAGAATCAATTCCTTACATTTAGTGCATCTCCCCATGGTCACCTGTTTGCTACTTGATTTTCTTTCACAATTCTTTGGCTCCTTCTTTGTTTGACAGTCACACATGGAGAGTAAGGATTCAGAATGATTCTTCTTTACTTGGCTATCCTGTGACTGTCTTCAGTCTCTTTAGAATAACATTTGTGTGGCATCCTAGAGAAGAAACAATGACATTGAATGCCAGCAGTGTGCAGGTGGTTATGGGTGGAATACACATATTGTGTCGTATAAGTAGTTGAAACAACTTGAAGTTGATTCGTTATAGAACTTGCCCCCAAATCAAATAGCTAACAATCTATACACTGTAGAACCAGATCTGACACCAAAAGTTATTTTGCTTCCATTTGGCTATGTGGGCTGCCTATTAGTTCTGTTTTAAAACAAAATAACTGGCCAGGCATGGTGGCTCACGTCTGTAATCCCAGCACTTTGGAAGGCCGAGGCAGGTGGATCGCTTGAGCTCAGGAGTTTGAGACCAGCCTGGCCAACATGGTGAAACCCTGTCTCTGCTAAAAAATACACACACACACAAAATAAATAAATAAAAAATAAAATTAGCTGGGCATGATGGCACACCCCTGTAGTCTCAGCTACTCAGGAGTCTGAGGCGGAGAATCACCCAAGCCCAGGGAGACGGAGGGTTGCAGTGAGCCAAAACCATGCCACTGCATTCCAGCCTAGGCAATCTGAATGAGAGCCTGTTCCACATACATACATACATATGTAAAACAAAATAGCTAGGTTTCATTGAATACTTTTCTGACAGACACTGTGGTAAATTGTTTGCTGGCATTTATTTCATTTAATCCTTATGAATTAGGAACTATTATTAGTCCTATATTACTGATGATAAAACCTAGGCCTAAAAAGGTTAATTAATTTGCCCAAATGCAAACAGATAGTAATTGATGGAATTAGAATTCAAACATAGGTCTACCTCACACCAGAGCCTGAGCCTTCAACCACCATGCTCCGACATCTTTGTAACATTGTGCTATTCATTTTTTTCTATCCAATTAAATAACACTACCTGACACCCAGAAAAGTTGTTGCTTAACATCTAAGAAATTGTTATTTAAATCTGCCACATCTCCTTTGCAGAACAAGAATTAACAAAAATTTTTAAAAGTTTCAATTCAGTGGAGCAATTAATATAAAATGGTTTTATTTTGCCCCCGTCATTGTTTTAAATCATTCTCCACCAGCTCTCCCTCTTGTTTCTCTTAGTGACATTTTGATAAGAGCCCATAACTTTCAGTTCACTCATTCTTTTAATATTCTTTTAATTAAATACCTAACATATGCTAGGTATTATTCTGAGTGCTGGGAATATATCAGTGAACAATAATTAAACATCTGTGCAGTTCAAAATGTTATATCCAATTCAAATGTCCTGTGCTCTCCTTGCAGTAGGAGAGGCCTGCAGTAGCAGGTAGAGAAAACCCATCTGTTCTTTCACTCTTTCTCTGATGCTAGCACTTTGAGCAATTTGTGGGTAAATGTTTGGCTCGACTCTGAGAAACCTCCTCCCTCTTTTTGTTAAGGCCTACTTCTTAAATGTGTTGGAGACAAGAAGGAAGAGCATGGAAAAGGGCAAACATCTCTTTTGTTAACTCAATTATTAACTCCTGTAATCCTCTCTTGCAAGGTCCATATCTGGCCCTCTGATGTAGGATGTCTGGCTTCAGCTTAGCTTCCTTATACTTCTTCAGGTCTCCAGGGATGCAGGGGCCACCTCTGCTGTGGCCACTTGACCTTGGAAACTCATGTACCCATACCAGATCCACTGATGGGAATGCAGACAGCTTACAGCCACCCTCTCTGTCTGGTTCTCCCTTTCCCATTCTCTTCTCTGCTTAAGTACACATATCTATAACTGCTCAAGCTGAGTAGGGGAACACAATGCCCCCATGTCTTTCCTTGAGGACACCATCAGCCTTTAAGAAGGAGTAGCATGCACCAAGAAGAGGCGAGGAAAAAGCCACTACATTACCCAGTAGGCCAAACCATGGTTCCAGCAAATTTCCCTGCCTCTCACCAGCTCAGTCTTCTGGAAGCGGATGGCTGTGGTTGTGGGGTTGGCAGGGCTGATTCCACTTCTGAGCTAGATGGCAAGCCCCACTTATTTGGTGACTTCCTGATAGTGTGGAATAGTTAATGTCTCTTTGTCCTAAAATTTGGGACCCTCACCACTTCTGGGGCAAACATCCTATTAAAAAGGCAAGAAATTAATGAGTTAAATGATGAGTTTATTATAAAATTGTGGTCAACACCCTACAATTATATGTTATAATATTTTGTATAATATATAGAGCAATACTAATCAAACAAATAGTTATACTAGTAACTTTACCTCCCTCTCCCTTCCCCCATCTTACCTCTGCCTAATTGTCCCTGGTCAGAAGTCCTTAGTCACCGATAGGATTTAACTCCAAACTCCTTTTTTGGCATTGATAATGCACCAGTCCTTATTTCTGTACCCAGACCCTCTGTTCCCCCAGGTCAGCACACTTGGGTGTGCTTAGTCCAGCTCACACACATCTCTGCCTTTGGTCTCTGGTTTTGTTTTTTTTTTTTTTTTGTCTGGAATGCCTACCTGCTTTCTGTTTGTCTAACTCCAGGCTTTCTTGTAGGTTTGCCTTTCAAGCCACTGTGCACTATGAGGCCTTCCAGAACTGCTCTTCCTCGGGATTTCTTAGCACCCATATTTCACCTTTAGCCTAAGCCGTCTTCTCTTTCAGCGTTCTCTTTTTCTTCCCATACTCTGTTTCACTAAATTATACATCTCTCAAGGACAATAACACTTTTTTTTTAGCTTCTCTGTAGTGTTATGCTTGTTCAGTTCATATATATTTGCTGATGGCAAAAAGTAATATTTTGGAAATAATTTCATGATTTAAAAATCTAAAAGATATTAAGATATACTGAAAAATAAATATTTGATTATTTAAAATGTTACAAAAGAGGAAGGTTTCATACTCCCTCTCTGCAACCACATTTTCATGGAACAAAGGCCCAGGTATAAACTGTTTTAGATTTGCCCCCATCTAGAAATTTAATCAAAGTCTTAGAACTGGAGAGAACATCAGGGTTACTGAGTCTCCCTCTATGCCTTAGGTTTCAATACAAAATTTATCACTGTTTGATTTGGAACTAGGGAATGGTTTGGGGACAGCAAATATTGAGGCTAATTAGGTGATTTAGATAATCCAGAGTCTGTGTAAAATTAAAATCCTACTTGTAGTGAGACTCTGAACTAGCTTTCTCAGCCTTTTGCTCTACCTCCTGCACAAGAATATGACTCAGAGTTGGGAGTAATGGTATGCTCAACCTCGGATAGCTGTCCTCCTCTGCTTTTAAGAATCCATTTTCATTACTCTATCATCTGCTTCTTTCTTTCTTTTCTTTTCCCTTGTTCCCCTAATGTATCAGTTGGAAAGTATCTAGCATTTCATGGTACAATAGAAAAGGAAGTGGACTAAAAGGAAACCTAGATTCTATTCCCATCTTTTTCACCAATTGTGTGATCTCACACCTCTCTGGGCTTAGTTTCTTTGTTGATAGAAGTGGGGACGAAATTAGATAATCATATTAATGTAACTGGTTTTTGTATGGACCATTATATGTAACCATTTACTTAGTTATTTGCATACCTGCCACATTGTATCGTGTGAAGTATCAACACTTTTTTTCTTTCTTTTTTTCCATAAGGTTATAGCTCAGCAAGTGTCAGATAAACACTTGGAAGAGGGTCGGCTTTATCCTCCTTTGAATACCATTAGAGATGTTTCTCTGAAAATTGCAGAAAAGGTAAAACCACCCTTGTTCAAGCTTCATTATTTTTCCTTCCTTCTCTTGCTAAATATGCATTTTTAAATATTAAAAATCTGCTTCCTTGAAATGTATATCTGTATCACCTCACTATGTCAGAAGTCAGAGAAATGAGGCACAGTGACACTGTAGAACTTAGGAGCTACATTTGCTCCTCAGAGAAGAATGGAAATATTGAGCTGAATAATTAATATCCCTCTCTACCATTGTTTTTTCTTCTAAAATTTAAATAATTCATTAGGGGTTTCTGTCAGCCAGATTTCTCCCACTTCACCTTTTTAAAGTTATTCTTTTCTATATCACATTAGTCATAATTACCAAAATATTACAGATATGGTAGAGTAACATTTAGACCTTGAACCACCATCCATATCCATGTCACTATGATATATGGCATCATAAATGACAGATCACAACTGATAATACTGGGTGGAAGGCAAAATAAAGAGGGCAAAGAACTCGAAAGCCGTTGGGGTGGCAGATGAGCTGCTGAAGGAGTTTGCCAAGAAGAACCCAAAGACAGAGAAATTTTCTGTAACTAAACTGGAAGATAAGTGAACTTTTTTTTTTTTTACCGTGTAATTGTATTAGTTTTCTTGGGCTGGGATAACTACATACCACTGTTATGTAGTAACTATTTTTAAGTATTTAAGCCACAGACTGTGAGGCTTAAACAACAGAAAACTGTTTTCTCATAATTCTGGGAGCTGGAAGTCTAAGAAAAAGATGTCCGCAGGTTTGGTTTCCTCTGAGGCCTCCCTCCTTGGCCGGCAGATGGCTGCCCTCTTTCTGTGTCCCCGTGTGGCCTTTTCTCTGTGTGTGTACACCCTTGTGTGTCCAAATTTCCCCTTCTCATAAGGACACCTGTCAAACTGGATTATAGACCATTCTAATGGTCTCATTTTAACTTAATAGTCTCCTTAAAGGTCCTATTTCTAAATACACTCACATTCTGAGGTACTAGTGGTTAGGGCTTCAACAATGAATTTGGGGTGGGAGGAACACAATTTAGCCATGACAGTAGTTATATGTTTAAATTGGTGTTTCTCTACCTCAGTGTTGTGGACATTTTGGGTCAGTAAGTGTCGTGGGGCTGTCCTGGGCATTGTACAGTCTTTAGCAGCATTCCTGGCCTCTGCCCACTAGATGTCAGTAGCATCTGCTCAGTTGTATCAACCAAAGCTGTTTCCAGACACTGCCAGGCATCCCCTTGGGGGCCAGATTGCTCACGATTGAAAATCACTAGCTTAAGCTATTAGCAAGTTATCTGAACAACACCATTTAAGAGTCACATATCATTATTTATCTTGTTGACTGAAGGTAGAGTCTTAGAAAAAGAAGTAATTCTCCAAAAACCTTTACATAATAATGTGCTTGGTTATCTATTTATGAAAAAGTATGTTCATATAGTCTACTAATATGTATCTGCTAGTTTTTAAGTGGTTTAAATTATTAATATACTGAATAGCATATCATCATTTTAAGTTCATTTTAGAGATTTAAATGCAAAGGAGTTAGCTTATGATTTTAGCTTATGATTTTAGTTAGCAAGGGACAGCAAGGGAGTGCCAAAAGATTCAGATATCACACCTAGAATAATGGAAGAATACAGAGTGCATACACAGAAACTGGGAAATTAGAACAAAGAACCAACCAACTTCAGAGAGGAAGATATGTAAGTGGACTGCAAGTTTGAGGTATCAATGGCACATTCAAATGTACCATTTTATCAAGTAGATAGAAATGACTGAAACTTAAAGAAAGGCTAGATAAAAGACCTGGGCATCTTCTGCATGTGGTAACTGGTGAATGTCTAGGAATGGATGGAGTTGCCAAGAAAGCAAGTATGGAAAGGAAAGAAAAATGAGGATAGAATATAGTTTATTATTCTGTCTAGAAGACAGAAGAAAGATGCCAGTTCAGAAGAGAAGTGGTCAGGATTTTAAGAAGAGACTCCAAACTGAGCATGTCAAGAATTAGGAAAGAGACAACTTCAGAATGGGAGTGGAAATTGTGACCAACACAGCCAAATCCTGGAGAGAAAAACTGATGCAGACTTTTATTTGGTACTTAACAAGTTATCAGAGACTTTTACAAAAGAAATTTCAAGATGTAGAAGAGGTTCAGAAGTCAGAGAATTAGGAAAGCAATAAAAGACAAGCCACTCTGTCAGAGAGTTTGGCATTGACAGGACAGAGAAAATGAAGATTTCACTGAGAGATGGGGTTATTTCTATGGTATATCTGGGAGCAGAAAGAGGAGATGAATTTCCACTTAGTCTATGTCAGTAATGAAACAATGTGTTTCGTTATAAAATTAATATAGCCATCTTAAACAGGCCCAAGGGATCTTTTTGGGGTGATGAAAATATTCTAAAACTGAATGTGGTGATATGGTTGCACAGCTCAGTAAATGTACAAAAATAATTTAGTTGTACACTTAAAATGCTTGAATATTGAGTGAATTATATATCAACAAATCTGTTTAAAAAGTAATAATACCACATTATAGGCACTTTGGAAAACAAATAGAGAAAAGGAAAATAATCAATATCCTATTTTTCTAATGTAAGCATTAGTTTTTCCTGTGTTTGTTTTGTGTCTTTCATTTGTTTATTTTCTAACATTATTATAATTATAAAGTAAGTATACATATTGTTTCCTGCTTTTTCATAGACATTTCATAATACAGCACAGTATTCATAACCTTAATTGTTCATAAATGCATAGTTTTACATTGAGATGAGATACTTAATCATTCTAATATTTTTTGAAATCAGACTTATCAAAATAAGTCAGTCATATAAATATTATTTTAAGAACTGGTGTGAATTAGACTGGGCATGGTGGCTCATACCTGTAATCCCAGCACTTCGGGAGGCCAAGGCAGGTGGATCACCTCAGGTCAGGACTTTGAGAGCAGCCTGGCCAACATGGCGAAACTCCTCTTCTAAAAAAGTACAAAAATTAGCCGGGTGTAGTGGTGGGAGCCTGTTATCCCAACTACTTGGGAGGCTGAGGCAGGAGAATTGCTTGGTTTTTGTTTTTGTTTTGGTTGGTTTTGTTTTTGAGATGGAGTTTCACTCTTGTTGCCCAGGCTGGAGTACAATGGTGTGATCTTGGCTTACGGCAAACTCTGCCTCCTGGGTTCAAGTTATTCGCCTGCCTCAGTCTCCCAAGTAGCTGGGGTTCCAGGCGTGCACCACCATGCCTGACTAATTTTGTATCTTTAGTAGAGATGGGGTTTCTCCATGTTGGTCAGGCTGGTCTTGAACTTCTGACCTCAGGTGATCCACCTACCTCGGCCTCCCAAAGTGCTGGGATTACAGGCATGAGCCACTGCGCCCAGCCGGAGAATCGCTTGAACCCGGGAGAAGGAGGTTGCAGTGAGCTGAGATCATGCCACTGCACTCCAACCTGGGTGACAGAGTAAGACTCCATCTCAAAAACAAACAAACAAACAAAAACTGGTGTGAATTAAATAGCATATATGAAGCGATTAATTTTGATGAGGAGAATCCATTTAAGAAAGTAGGGAAAGAGAAGATGTATGAAGGTACTGAGGAGATAGTTTGAGTTGGTCAAAATGGAAATTAAGATCATTTTCTCTGAGTAGTTGAAATTTTCTCCTGCGATATGATGTGATGATGTGATTCTCCAGTGAGTGATGAGAGTCAAATGGAAACTTGAAGACATGGGAAGGTTTAGACTTGCTTTTTGGGAACCACGAGAGGAAGTTTTAAGAAAAGACAGAAAAAAGTATAATGTGCAGACTAGAAAAAAACATAGCACCACAAAAAGTTTACTGCATGGTTCTAGGATGCACAGCCACAAAAGGAGAAAGCCAGCTCTGAGGGGTCCCCAGACAAGGGACTAGAATTATGCATGAAACATAGGACATGATGACAGGAGATTCTGTGACACTGGCAAAGAGTGCTGATCCTGACTGTGGTGTCCAGATGACTAGCTGAGCAGGATCACGAGACCCTGGGGTACAGGAGGAGATTTTGTAGGAGGCTGTGGTCAGAATAAGGATTCTTGAAAATTCAAGGTTCAAGTTTAGCAGGACTATTTAGATATTTATTTCAAGTTAATTGTCAGTTAGGTCATGACAATATTTTGAACACTGGCTTCTCTGAGAAGTCCAGATGTGATAGTATTTGAATTAGTCTCACCTATTCACACTTTCTTTAGTTGCTGGTGTCATTTTTCTATCTCACTATATGATTTATAATTGCATTTTCATCTTACATCTTCATTGCTTATATGTGCTTTTAATATAAAACAATGTTTTTGCAAACATAAGATATACAGTGCTTTTGAAATGGATAAAAACTTCCACTCACATGGGCTCACCATTATCTCTATTTATTAAAATAATTAATATTCTTTTCTTATATCTAGATTGTGAAAGACGCATACCAAGAAAAGACAGCCACAGTTTATCCCGAACCTCAAAACAAAGAAGCATTTGTCCGCTCCCAGATGTATAGTACTGATTATGACCAGATTCTACCTGATTGTTATTCTTGGCCTGAAGAGGTCCAGAAAATACAGACCAAAGTTGACCAGTAGGATAATAACAAACGTTTCTAACTCTATTAATGAGGTCTTTAAACCTTTCATAATTTTTAAAGGTTGGAATCTTTTATAATGACTGATAAAATGCTTAGATTAAGATTTTACTTTAACAGTCTAAAAATTGATAGAAGAATAACGATATAAATTGGGATAAACATCACATGAGACAATTTTGCTTCACTTTGCCTTCTGGTTATTTATGGTTTGTATCTGAATTATTCTGCCTACATTCTCTTTAAAAGCTATTGTACCTACTACTGAGATACTCATCGTTTTTATACAGGAAGCTAATGGGAAGACCAAAATTAGTAATAAATTGATATAACCAACATTAAAACCCATAATTATTTTGTTGACCATTTTGTTAAAATCTACTTTTCAAAAAAAAAAAAAAAGGTAGAAATGAATCTAGGCATAGGCGAACTTTTGCTAAGCAGAAATAACATTACTTTGTTGCCTAGAGAAAGATAACTTCTCAGGTATTTTTATTCCAGTCCTAGATCATGTATGTTCTTTTGTGCAACCAAATTTTAACACTTCTAAGAAAGAGAAAGATCACTGCTGTTTACAATGCCTTGTACAGCCTTACATTTTAATAATCTTTTGTCATTATTACATCTCACAGAGTAAAGCTCTTATTACCTTGATCCTGAGTCAGAAATCCCACCTGAAAGCACCTTTTTTTCCCCTTGATCAAGCATCCTATCCTTCAGCTACCATACTGTTGCTACAGGGACTTTGTGGACTGTGGCCCCTGTCCAGAGGTTGGCGCCTTCAGTTCAGCACAGCCTGAACAGTGAGAAGGTCTGAAAGGAGAGTATATAGTTAAGATCCTTGAGAAAGGGCTGCCTGAGGAACTGACCTCTTAAAGATCTCAGGAGTCAGACAATTTAGGTTCCTACTGGAGTTACCTGCCAGAATGGCCTCTTAATTAACTCAGGTAACTAAGAACTAACTGTGTTATAATCATCTCACTTTTCCCTGAATTTGGAGAAAGTATTATAATTAAGTTCCCAGTATCAGAAATTGTCCTTACATAAGATTAAAATATCTTGATGACCAATACCATTCTATGAGAAAGAGTAGTTATATGCCCAGGCTGTATTAATTCACTTCAGAAACTAATGTTTGAAGTAATGGAAAAAATTTTAAGTTATAAAACTAAGGTGCAATGACATTTGCTATTTATTTGTAGAATTATTTGAAGAATTTTGTTTTCGAAGTAATGCTTTAAGGAGTATAAGATGTTCAAGATAAATTATACTATAAAATGATTTTATTGAAAGTTGAAGGTTACACATATTGTTTTAGGTATGAGCAGAAGAGGTTAAGGTATTTCTAAAGGTAACTTATAGTCAAGAGTTTCCTCAAAATAGTTATTTGGAGAAGAATCAGAATGTTTATGTATTTCTTGTCTGTTTCTATGTTGTCTTATAGTTCTAACTAAATGTGTTTACCTATGCAAAAGATTTATTAAAGCATAGAAAAGGTGAATGAATAGAATATAAAATAATTGTCCTTTTTTCTTAAAATGTTACATTGTAATGCTGGGTCTTGGGGTCATATGATTATGTATGATGAATTTCTAAAATATTCTAATAACTGCTAATTTCAGTAGGAACATCATTCATTCAGAACATATGTGGTTGGGCACAGTGGCTCACGCCTGTAATCCTAGCACTTTGGGAGTGTGAGATGGGCAGATCACCTGAGGTCAGGAGTTCAAGACTAGCCTGGCCAACATGGTGAAACCCTGTCTCTACTAAAAACTACAAAAATTAGCTGGGCTTGATGGCTCATGTCTGTAATCCAGCTACTTGGGAGGCTGAGGCATGAGAATCGCTTGAACTGGACATTGCAGTCAACCAAGATCGTGCTACTGCACTCCAGCCTGGGGGACGGAGTAACCCTCTGTCTCAGGAAGAAAAAAAACAAAAACAAAACAAAACAAAATATGTAATCACGTATTCTGAATACTGTGATATGTGAGCCACTTCCTTGTCCTCAGGGAAAGATAATGAAATAAGCATTAGATAGTTACTTACTAAGTGTCAAGTATCCCACATACGTTATTTTAATGTAGTCCCCTCACTTTCCTTATGAAGTTGATATTTTAAGTAACTGGTCAAGTCCACAGAACTAATAAATGAAGAAAGTAAGCTTTATATCCATGTTCATCTTTCTTTATAGTTTGTTCTCCTTTCCCTAGGCTACAGTCTAGAACAGCACTGTCCCATGTGTAATTTTAAATTTTGTAGTAGCTTCATTAAAAAAAGACACAGGTGGAATTCATGGTATTAATATATTTTTTTAAACCAATATATCCAAAATATTATCACTTCAACATGTAATCGACATAAAATTATTAAGATAGTTTATTTTGTTCATACTGTCTTCAACGTCCAGCACGTATTTTACACTTACATTTTAATTCAGTTCAGACTAGCCACAGGTCTCAGTAGCCACATCTGGCGAGTGACACCGTATTGGACAGTGCAGGTTTAGAAGAGACAGTTATATACCAATAGCTGTAAGACTGCATCTCCATGAGAGAAGTGAAGTAGAAGCCTGAGGGAAATGTTTACTCAAAAATATTTTGGTAAATAATGCCTCAATAAAGTAGATAAAAAACTAATTTGTGCCAGCCTGTCTTCATAAGCCAGCCATGCATATTAGGAAGGGAGCACAGCCCCAGAACAAGAAAATTATTTAACAATTTTTTATAGAATGCTCACTTCGCTATTAACCAAAGAAATGTAAAATGCTACTGGAGCACACATGGAACAAATAAATTATATAGTGAGAAGGAGATGTCAGGGAAGAGGATATAACAACATTAATGTTAATAAAATTAGACAAAAAGAAAAATGGAAAAAGACAGATAACTTTATCACAAAAACAGAATATCTAAAGAATTAAATGTACATTCTAAATGTAAAAAATAAAATATCTGAAATTAAGAATTCATCAGACAGATGGCTTAACGCTGACTAGAGGTCATAGAGGAAAGGATTAATGACCTCAAAGGCAGGTCGTTAGAAATTACCTACATTTTTTTAACTTTTATCTTAGGTTTGGACTTACATGCAAAGGTCATTATATAGGTAAACTTGTGTCATGGGGGGTTTGTTGTATGGATTATTTCATCACCCAGGTATTAAGCCTAGTACCCAGTAGTTACTCTTTCTGCTTCTCTCCCACCTCCCGCCCTCCACTGTCAAATAGACCTCAATGTCTGTTGTTCCCTTCTTTGTGTTCATGAGTTCTCATCATTTAGCTCCCACTTATAAGTGAAGATATGTGGTATTTGGTTTTCTGTTCCTGTGCTAGTTTGCTAAGGAAAATAGCCTCCAGCTCCATCCCTGTTCCCACAAAAGACATGTTCTCATTCTTTTTTTATGCTGCATAGTATTCTATGGAGTTCATCTAACACCTTCTCTTTATCTGATCTGGCATTAATGGGCATTTAGGTTGATTCCATGTCTTTGGTATTGTGAATAGTGTTGCAGTGAGCATTTGAGTGTGTGTGTGTGTGTGTGTGTCTTTATGGTAGAATGATTTATATTCCTCTGGGTATATACCCAGTAATAGGATTACTGGGTTGAATGGCAGTTCTACTTTTAGCTCTTTGAGGAATCGCCATACTGCTTTCTACAATCGTTGAACTAATTTGCACTCTCACCAACAGTGTGTAAGTGTTCCCTTTTCTCCACAACCTTGCCAACACTTGTTAGTTTGTTTGTTTGTTTGTTTGACTTTTTAATAATAGCCAGAATGTCACGAAGCCATTCTGACTGGTGTCACAATGAAATGGTATCTCATTATGGTTTTTGATTTGCATTTCTTTAACGATCAGTGATATTGAGCCTTTTTTCATATGTTTGTTGGCTGCACATATGTCTTCTTTTGAAAAGAGGCTGTTCATGTCCTTTGCCCACGTTTAATAGGGTTGTTTTTTTCTTGTGAATTTGTTTAAGGTCCATATAGATGCTGGATATTAGACCTTTGTCAGATGCAAGTTTGCAAATATTTTCTCCCATTCCGTAGGTTGTCTGTTTTCTCTGCTGATAGTTTCTTTTGCTGTGCAGAAGCTAAATTTAATTAGATCTTGTTTGTCAATTTCTGCTTTTGTTGCAGTTGCTTTTAGTGTCTTTGTCATGAAATTTTTGCCTGTTCCTATGTCAAGGATGGTAATGCCTAGGTTGTCTTCCAGGATTTTCACAGTTTTGGATTTTACATTTAAGTCTTCAATCCACCTTGAGTTGATTTTTGTATATGGTATAAGGAAGGGGTCTAGCTTCAACATTCCACATGTGGCTAGCCAGTTATCCCAACACCATTTATTGAATAGGGAGTCTTTTCTCCGTTGCTTGCTTTTGTTAGCTTTGTCAAAGACCAGATGGTCATAAGTGTGTGGCCTTATTTTTGGGTTCTCTATTCTGTTCCATTGGAATATGTGTCTGTTTTTGTACCAGTACCATTCTGTTTTGGTTACTGTAGCCCTGTGATATAGTTTGAAGTTGGATAATGTGATCCCTCCAACGTTGTTCTTTTTGCTTCATATTGCCTTGGCTATTCTGGCTCTGTTTTGTTTCCATGTGAATTTTAAAATAGTCTTTTCTAGTTCTGTCAAGAATGTCATTGGCAGTTTGATCAGAATATTATTGAATCTGTAAATTGCTTTGGACAATATGATCATTTTAATGATATTGATTCTTCCTATCTTTGAGCATGGGATGCTTTTCCATTTGTTTTTGTCTTCTCTGATTGCCTTGAGCAGTATTTTTCAGTTCTCCTTTAGAGATCTTTCACTTCTCTGATTTAGCTGTATTCCTAGGTATTGTATTATTTTTGCGGCAATTGTGAATGGGATTGCATTCCCAATTTGACTCTTGGTTTGGCTGCTGGTGATGCATAGGAATGCTAGTGATTTTTGTACATTGATTTTGCACCCTGAAACTTGGCTGAAGTTGCTTATCAGCTGAAGGAGATTTTGGGCCAGGACTATGTGGTTTTCTAGATATAGAATCATGTCCTCTGAAAACAGGGATAGTTTGACTTCCTCTCTTCCTATTTGGATGCCCTTCATTTCTTTCCCTTGCCACTTGCTTTGGCCAGGACTTCCAGTGCTTTCTTGGATAGGAGTAGTGAGGGAGAGAATCCTTGTCTTGTGCTGGTTTTCAAGAAGAATGCTTCCAGCTTTTGCCTATTCGGTATGATGTTGGCTGTGGGTTTGTCATAGAGGGCTATTATTATTTTGAGGTATGTTCCTTCAATATCTAGTTTACTGAAAGTTTTTAACATGAAGGTATGTTGAGTTATATCAAAAGCTTTTTCTGCACCTATTGAGATAATCCTACGTTTTTTGTCTAACATAAACAG